TGACAAATCCAAAGTTAGAAATTCATCTTTTTTCTTTTTTCTTCATCACTATTCTTTCGCACTTATAAAAATAAGTCCAGTGATCACAACCTTTTTAAAAATACTGAAAATAATTCAAAACAATACTTCACACACACTTATCACACGTTTCTATTTCTTTTACACTAAGCCCCGCAATTAATTTCCTGAGTACAGCGACTTACGCCACTTTCAAAATAAACATGTTTGTTATACCGTTAATTAGCAAAACTTCTTTCGAACAAATCTCAATAGTTCTCAACTTATTGATCGCAAATTTTTTAAAAATGAAAAGATACCGTTCGATTGTAATTAGTGTTACCATTAACTCGATTTTTTTGAAAAAGTGACTTATGTCACTTTAAAAATAAACGGCTCATATATTGTTCCTTGCTTTGCTAAATACCACTCTCTCTACAGCAGTAATTTGAATTTTTAACTTTTATAAGTATTCGATTATCCCTGGGTTTTTCATTTATTATGTATATGGTATATGTTAACGTCAAGCGAGTAAGTAAATGTTAGTAATAAAATTGTTAATTTTATCAAATAAGACCGTCTTTTTGATCCAATATTTTAACAGCGACACTTATATCGTGTTTGACGAGTATAATCGTCATCGCTTGATTCTCGCGACACATAAATGAAGGCGCCATAGTTAACTAGTTAAAAAGGAAAAATATTAATTTGTTCAAACACTGAAATAAATGATCTGATTTTTTTCTTTTAGACGACAGTAGAACCGATCTGCTAGACTTTTAACCCTTTGCACTCTGAGGCACCACTAAAATTGTTACATCGCATTCCAAGATAATTTTTATATTATCAAAGTTTAGTTGTAAAGAATTGGTAAAAGTCTAACTGTTGCATGAGTCACAGGATTCGATTTCATATGCACAAAATGCACTTTTTCACATAAAATAGAAATAGCATAAGCCGGAAAAATTAATTTGGATTTACAGTTAAAATGGCTTCGAGTGCAAAGGGTTAATTTTGCTATTACTTGTATGAGTCACAGGATTCAATTTCATATGCACAAAATGCACTTTTTCACATAAAATAGAAATAGCATAAGCCGGAAAAATTAATTTGGATTTACGGTTAAAATGGCTTCGAGTGCAAAGGGTTAATATTGCTATTACTTGTATGAGTCACAGGATTCAATTTCATATGCACAAAATGCACTTTTTCATATAAAATAGAAATAGCATAAACCGGAAAAATTAATTTGGATTTACGATTAAAATGGCTTCGAGTGCAAAGGGTTAATATTGCTATTACTTGAATGAGTCACAAGACTCAATTTCATATGCACAAAATGCACTTTTTCACATAAAATAGAAATAGCATAAGCCGGAACAATTAACTTAGATTTACAGTTAAAATGGCTTCGAGTGCAAAGAGTTAATATTGCTATTACTCGGACCGTGGAAAAAAATACAAATTCTCGTTTTTTAACTTTTTTTTATCCGCGCTTGTAACAAATGTTTAAAAAATGCGTTTCGTAGATCCCGGTAGCTCACATGAATATTTACGAACGAGAGATGATAATCAATTCGCATACATTCCCTTCTCCATTTTGCTCGACGTTCTCCCTTTCTTTCTTTCTTTCTTTCTTTTTTTCTTCCTTTCTTTTTTTCCATAGGTACATCCTGCGGGAGATGCGACACGAGTTTCCCACCATAATGGCTAACGTGCACTACACGGTGTTGAAGAAGAAATGGTCGAACCTGTTGCAGCAGTACAAAGTGAGAGACGAGCCAGATGCCTTTTATTACCTCGCGATTGCTCGATTATCTGACCGCGCGTTAGTTTGCTTTACCGTTTCCAGTTTGTGTTCCCTTCTGCGTCAAGTATAATAAACGCGCGCTCCCCTGTCCCTAGTGTAGATAAGCCTCCCGGAGGGTGGAGATATACTCCCGTGGAGAGTAGAGAAGTTAGTCTTCCACTTTCTTGTGGGAAATTAGGTTTCTTTGAACTGGTTCTCAGAGTTGGTGCGATGGTACATCGGCCGTGGTTTTATAACTCTCTAAACAAGCGCCTGTGTCCACATCATTTTTAACAGTTATTTTTGGCAGTCGCTTTTTGGCAGTCATTTTTTACAATTATTTTTAGAAGTCGTTTTTCGAAGTTATATTTAGCAGTCATTTTTTACAGTCATTTTTAGTAGTTTTTGAAAGTTATATTTAGCAGTCATTTTTAGAAGTTATTTTTAGTAGTCGTTTTTAGCAGTCATTTTTACTAGTCATTTTTTGCAATAATTTTTAGCAGTCATTTTTAGAAGTCGTTTGTAAAAGTTATTTTTAGCAGTCGTTTTTAGCAGTCACATATATTTAGCAGTTATTTTTAGTAGTCATTTTTTGCAATAATTTTTAGCAGTCATATTTAGCAGTCATCTTTTCCAATAATTTTTAGCAGTCATTTCTAGCAGTCATTTTTAGAAGTCGTTTGTAGAAGTTATTTTTAGCAGTCGTTTTTAGCAGTCATATATATTTAGCAGTTATTTTTAGTAGTCATTTTTTGCAATAATTTTTAGCAGTCATATTTAGCAGTCATTTTTTCCAATAATTTTTAGCAGTCATTTTTAGAAGTTTAGAAGCTATTTTTAGCAGTCGTTTTTAGCCATCAATTTTAGCAGTCATTTTTAGTAGTCACTTTTTGCAATAATTTTTAGAAGTCGTTTTTATAACTTATTTTTAGCAGTAGTTTTTTGCAGTCGTTTTTAGCAGTCATATTTAGCAGTCGTTTTTAGTAGTAATTTTTTCCAATAATTTTTAGCAGTCATTTTTCCAATAATTTTTAGCAGTCATTTTTAACAATCATTTTTCTGCAAGTGTTTCAATAACGTTAAAAAGACGTTAGATCGAATTCCTAAAAATCTTACACTATACTTCAGATTACATTTCCTACTTTGCAAATAAAAAATAAGTGTTTCCATATCGGACAACAAAAGATCGTTTCGAGAACACCGAATAATATACCGTTATTTCTCATACTTCTTTGCGATAAAAATAACCGCCTTCGGCTTTCGTTTAACATTCGAATCGATTGAGTCAGCGCAATTAACATTTTAACTTTCGAGTCGAAGAAATCACGAAGACAGGAGGGTTCTATCGTGAACGAAGAAAAATCCCGTGGAATCTGATCGACCGCGTACCACCAATTTCCCGCAATGTCCGATAAGAACTGCGAAACGCGTCGAGTGGTTCGATCGCACGGTGGTTGCAGTGTTAATAAATTGTACCCGCGCACGAGTTCCTGGTCGTCGTGTAACGTATCGGTGTGTCCGTGATATCCACGTGGATCCGCGGCCGAAAGAAAATCAGAAACGCGAGGCACGCGAGGAACGCGTCGGCTCTGCAACGGATGCCGTGCCCGTGTACAGGGAGAGAAAGCGAGAGAGAAAGAGAGAGAGCAAGCGAGAGAGAGAGAGAGAGAGAGAGAGAGAGCAAGCGAACGAGAGAGAAAGAGAGAGAGAGAGAGAGAGCAAGCGAACGAGAGAGAAAGAGAGAGAGAGAGAGCAAGCGAACGAGAGAGAAAGAGAGAGAGAGAGAGCAAGCGAACGAGAGAGAAAGAGAGAGAGAGAGAGAGGGAGAGAGGGAGAGAGAGATTAGTAGTCTGAAACAGACCTGGGTAAAATAGTATTTTAAGTGCCAAATAGATATTTGATTTTAGATTGTACATGTATATATATTTTTCAAAATAAAATATTTTATTTTATCTTTGACATTGACGAAATAAAATATTTTAATTGCTGAAATTCAAATAGTATTATTAATAATAGTATTATTAATAGTATTAATACTATTTCAAATAGTATCTATCTCAAATAATTGCTGAAATTTGTCCTTTTATGACCTATTTGAAATACACACACTATTTTATTTAAATTGTGAAATATCTATTATTTCAAATAGTATCTATCTCAAATATATATATATATAATTGCTGAAATTTGTCCTATTATGATCTATTTAAAATACTAAGTTATTTAAATTGCAAAAAAAAATATCTATTATCTTAAATAGTACCTATCTCAAATATGTTTTTATAAATATTACCCAGCTCTGGTTTGAAAGAGAACGATAGAGAGAAGAAAAGAGAGAAAAAGTCTGAGAGTGGAAAAAAGTGTTTGTGGAAACGAGAAAAGAAAAGGAGAGTGAGAGAGTGAAACAGAGAGATCGAGAGTAAGAATGCGAAAGAGAGAGAGAGAAAGAGTGAGAGAGTGAAAAAGTAAAGAAGAGTGTAAGAGAACGAAAGAGAAAAAGAGAATAAAAGAGAGCGAGAGAAAGAAAACGGGAATGAAAGAGCAAGAAAAAGAAAAAGGGAATGAAAGAGCGAGAAAGAGAAAAAAAGAGTGCGAGAAAGCGAAAGAGAGAGAAATAGAGTGAGAGAGCAAGAAGGTTTGAAAGAGAGAGGGAGGGTGGGAGAGAAAGAGCAAGAAAGGAAAAGACGGAGGAAGAGACGGCGAGAGAGACGCGATCGGGCAGGACTCGCTTGGCTCGTCCTGTTACTATGCATCTGCCACAGCGATCTGTTGAAGGAACTGAGGAACCCGGTACACGGAGACAGGAACAAGGCGGACGACGTCTCATGGCCGTTTTACAGCGCGATCGACGAGCTCCTAGGGGGAGGACACGACCGTGGAACGCCGAACCACGACGAGTACATCGATCCTCACGAATTCCTCTGCGTCTCCGTGACACCGGAAGAGCCGACTTCCTCCTCCATGGACGCGCCGCAAACAATTTCCGATCCGGAAATCGAACGCCTCGGAACCGGCTTCCACCCTGAGCAGAGGATCCGGACGCTCGGCGGCGACGGTTCCGTTCAAATCGAGAGAATACCTTCGTACGACAACGTCAGGTTTGGATAGTACATAAAGGGTTTCAAACGTTTTATACGGTAGAGAACTCCATTTATAGAAACTGGTCGGGAGGCAAGGTGGTTCGAGTATGCTCGTCAATCACGCATAATGTTGCGATCGCTTTATGACGGGTATATTCGTCAAGAATGCATAATATTGCGATTACTTTATGATGGGTATACTTATCAATAAGGCATAATGTTGCGATTACTTCATGACGAGTATACTCGTCAATAACGCACAATGTTGCGATTACTCCATGACGAATATACTCGTCAAGAATGCAAAATATTGCGATTACTCCATGACGAATATACTCGTCAAGAATGCAAAATAGTACCATTTCTTCATGACGAGTATACTCGACAATAACGCAAAATATTGCGATTACTTCATGACGAGTATACTCGTCAATAACGTATAATGTTGCGATTACTCCATGACGAATATATCCGTCAAGAATGCAAAATATTACCATTTCTTCATGACGAGTATACTCGTCGAGAATGTAAAATGTTGCCATTTCTTCATGACGAGTATACTCGTCGGTAAAGCAAAATGTTGCCATTTGTTTATGACGAATATACTCGTCAATAACGCAAAATATTGCGATTATTTCATGACGAGTATATTCGTCGGCAACGCAAAATATTGCCATTTTTTTACGACGAGTATACTCGTCAATAACGTAAAATATTGCGATTACTTCATGGCGAGTATACTAATCGGTAACGCAAAATATTGCCATTTCTTTATGACGAATATGCTCGTGAACAACGCAAAACGTTGCCATTTCTTCATGACGAGTATACTCGTCAATAACGTAAAATATTGCGATTACTTCATGACGAGTATACTCGTCAATAACGTAAAATATTGCGATTACTTCATGACGAGTATACTCGTCAATAACGTAAAATATTGCGATTACTTCATGACGAGTATACTCGTCGGTAATGCAAAACGTTGTCATTTCTTCTTGACGAGTATACTCGTCGGTAACGCAAAACGTTGTCATTTCTTCACAACGAATATACTCGTCGGTAACGCAAAATGTTGCCATTTCGTTATGACGAGTATACTCGTCAAAAATAGTTGGAAGATATATGTATAACTTTTATATTCTTCATTAAATCGTACATTTCATAAAAGTCTCGTATTCAAACAAAACTACGAAGAAAATCAAACGTATACACTCCAGTCACAGTTACTTTCCGAAGTCGGTAAAGTAGGGGCCATTATCGAGCCTGTGGCACGCCGGTGCAACGTATGTGATGTAACAGGAAGACGTTCTGTTTTTAGGCAGCCGGATAAAAATGAGGGCCGAAGGAAACGCGTGTCGAGCAGCGGATCGATCCCGCGGCTACCACGTGCCACGGAGCTCACGATCAAGAAAGTTACGTCGGAGGCGGACCGTTCCAAGGACTTGTCGAGAGTACGAGGAAACGAGCCGGCCGATTCCGCCAGAGACAAAGGCCGACTGACCGAGGCGCGTAACGAGGATGAGGAAAGGCCGAGAAAGTCGAGGCGAACGCAGGCCCCGTATCGGGAGGATCGCGAGTCACGGACCGATCGCCGTATCGAGCAGATCTTCGAGTACATTAAACAACGGGACGAGGAGAATAGATCCATCATGGTCCGTGTGATGCACGCCGTCGAGACGATCGCCAGCAAGTTATGACACCGTTCGATGCCCGAGCGAAACGTCGCGCCTCGGCCGCACCGCTCTTTTCGGAGGCTGCGGAATAATTATGGCGTCTGCCGCCGCGTCGATCATTGTTCACGGATTATTCTTCGTCTCTTGCCGATTTCAATTTCCCTCGCGCAACCTTCTTCCGCGAAGAAGAACGCCCGCGGATTTTATCAAAGTTCAGTCCAGAAATCCAGTTCAGTTTTATCAAAGTCGTCCAAATTCTGATTTACAGTAATGTCTCTCTAATTGACGCCCAAATTGTCCACAGAAATGGACAATTTGGGAAGAGGAGATGCGATTATTCGAGCTTCGCGGTTTGTTTTTATAGTTATAAATTGTCTACAATTATAAAAACGAGCCGCAAGGGTCGGATAATGGTATCGTCTCTTCCCAAATTGTTCATTTTTGTGGACAATCTGAGCGTCAGTAAGGGAGACATTACTGTACAGGGTGTCCCAAAAATGTCTCGCAATCCGGAAATGGCGGGTTCCTCGGATCATTTGAAGCAACTTTTTCCTTTACAAAAATGTTCTCCGAGGCACCGTTAACGAGTTATTAGCGAAAAACAGTGACCAATAAGAATCGAGTACGGCTGACGCGAGGCGGCCCAGTCAACCAGCGCGCGAAGCCCAGTTCCGCTCATTGGCTCGGTCGCCTCGCGCCAGCTGAGCTCGCCTCTCATTGGTCACTGTTTTTCGTTAATAACTCGTTAACGGTGCCTCGGAGAAAGTTTTTGTAAAGGAAAAAGTTGCTTCGAATGAACCGAGGAACCCGCCACTTTCGGTTTGCAAGACATATTTGGGACACCCTGTATAACGATTCGTATTACCAGCGTTTCTTCGTTTTTCAAACCCTTCGAATTTGTCTCCGCGATTCTTTTCTGATGAATAGGTAAATCGACAGCTGAATTAACGCTAGAACTACCGAGCACAAAACGTCGTTAATTAATATTGTTTTAGAACAACAGCTTCCAGTGAAGAAGTTTATCTCAAAACATTTCTCGTTGAAAGATCTTTATAATTTTAGTAAATGTGAAAGAAAAGATTGGAAAGAAAAATTATTTTCACTGGTTTGGTAGTTCCAGTGTCAATGCATAAACTAAAATTCTTTGAAATTTTGCGGCGTTTTCTCTTTTACGTCCACGGATTTAACGCTAAACCTATTGTTCTGGTTAAAATGACAGGACTCACATTTTTTGTTTTAACATTGTTTTAAAATTATAAAGACTGCTTTATAGGAACATACATTAAGCGTGCATTATAATAGAAATTGCGGAAGATCTAAATAAGCTGAGTTTTGTAACTCTAATAATTTTGTTAAAACAAGACATATTAATCAATTCTTAATGCTCGGTAGATTTAGCATCTATTTCTGTTCTATTATTTCGCTTTCGGTGCATGATCTTTAAAAAATTGATTTTTCTTGTAAAGCAGTTGCTTAGACAGAACTTTGTTGTTATTTGTACGATCGGGAAAGAGTTTGAGAGAACTGTACAGTTTTTTTAAAAATTAGAACGATTAAGTTACATCGATCGCTGGACTGCGGGTCTTTATGCGAAAGAAACATGCGCTACGTCAATTGCAAGAAAAAGATGACCGATAATGATGCAGCAATATTGTTCAATTATAGTCTTCTAACTGCTAACGACTAGACCCCGCCGATGTTTGTACAAAAATAAAAATTGTCTAAGTTAATTGTAAGAAACGTGAGTCTGATAAAATTGTATCTATAAATAAGTTGTATACGATGTAAACATATCATCAAATTCTTTTAACGTCTCCATAGTTTAACGTTCGACCTAAGACATTCTTGTCAAAAATGCATAAAATCCGCAGTCTACCGACTAAATTCCTTCGATTTCGAGGGAATTTTTCGACGGTGATCGTTCATTCGACAGTCAGCGTGTCGACCGAGTGGTGTGCGAGGACATTAATTCAAAGGCGCTTTGTCTCATCCGTTCAAGAGTATTAAACATTGTCGATATGATTATCCAACGTTCGTGTATAAGTCTAGCTAGCGCACAAAAATTGATATCCAAGCATTTTGGATCTTACGCGATGTGCAATTCAATGTCAAGATTTTCTGTAATATATTTTAATAAATGTCTGTCGTTTCGAACGAAACTTTTGTCCGACGATTTCGACGTTTTACAAGTCAATAATACGTTTAAATTGTATATATATACAGGGTGTCCCAAAAATGTCTCGCAATCCGAAAGTGGCGAGTTCCTCGGGTCATTTGAAGCAACTTTTTCCTTTACAAAAATTTTTTCCGAGACATCATTGACGAGTTATTAACGAAAAACAGTGACCAATGAGAGGCGAGCTCGGCTGGCGCGAGGCGACCGAGCCAATGAGCGGAACTGGGCTTCGCGCGCTGGTTGGCTGGGCCGCCTCGCGTCAACCGTACTCGATTCTTATGGGTCACTGTTTTTCGTTAATAACTCGTTAACGGTGCCTCGGAGAACATTTTTGTAAAGGAAGAAGTTGCTTCAAATGATCTGAGGAACCCGCCATTTCCGGATTGCGAGACATTTTTGGAGCACGCTGTATGTACGTTTTACAAGAACAATAATACCACGCTTTAACGGAATTCAGATTTTCGTGAAACAATTCTACTTATTATTAGACTGTTGTGTATTTATACAGAATCGTAGAAAGATTAAAAGAATAGGAAAGCAATGTAATATTACTTTCGTTCTACAGAAATAATTAAGAACAGAGTGGATTCTGTTGTTTGTAACACATACAGAAAATTTGTATTTTTCACAAAGATCCATAGTCTATTTATCACAGTGAAAGTACAACAAATGTGTGTTCGAGCACAGCAAATTCTAAATATTGACTCGGATTTCAACACAACTCGGATTTCTCCTCCGGATTTTCACGAAACAATTATTTATCGATTCTCGATACAATTAAGAATTACAGCAACGAATAAACTAGAGCAGAACATCTCGAATAACGCTCTCGGTACAACGGAGCCCCGATTGTTGCCATCGCCGTGTCGGAATTAGCTGTTAACCCTTAGCGTTCCGAAAGCTCCGCTACGGAGACATTTTCCATTTGTTCCGTAACTCCGAAGGCTCCACTGCGGAGCCAAATGTTTTTAGCATACGTTATCGTCGGCGTTAGCAATTGTTATCTGTCGTTAAAACGTGCTAAGTCTGTACCATTACGATTAAACCATTTTTTGACCTCTTCTATGGTTAGCAACATGGAGAAAAATAAATGTTACGATGAGAATTTAGAGCCGAGCGATAACGAAGACGTATTTGATTTTGAAGAGTTAAAAGACATTGTGGAAGACAATGTTGGTTATGATTC